ATCTGGTCTTTTGAATAGCATGCCTTCTCTGTGCTTTTGATTAGTTTGGTCTGTTGGATATTGGCTTCATCAGTTTCTGATTGTGGAGTATGACAGAAAGAATGTATTATAACCACTGTGATCCAGGAGGTAGGTGTGGGCGTGGTAAGAACCCAAAGCACTATTTCCAGAGAGACACAGACTGCGGGGAAGAATCCATGTTGAAGCTTTTTTAGCTTTTCAGTTTGGTAGTTGTATATCCTAATCAATTTGTGTGACCTCTTAGAACTTTCCTTTTGGGGGTGGAGGGGCAGGTAGGTACTAGGGATTGAATCCAAGGCCTTACACATACCAAGCAAGTGTTCTGCCCCTTTGCGAGTTCCCCAAGCCTCAGCCTTATGTTCTTGATATGTAAAGTGTGGGTCATGGTAGTGCACCCCCATATAGCACTGTGATGACTCTGGTCATTAGACATCACTTCACATATGGTCAGCCTTTAGTAAACACTTGGTATTTCTTGTCGATCTGTGACTTTACTGTCCCTGTATAATTGCTGGGGAGAGATGACAGAAAGCCACAGAGAAGGTGATCTTTTAGCTTTTCCCTACTTGCTTTGCACTTAGGCTAGACCCTAAAGGGACAGGGCCCAGTGTCTGTAAGTCTTCTTAGCGGCAGGCATGTGGCTGGGACCAGGGCCCTTTCTCATGTTTGCCTCTCTCCTGGGGTTGCTGCTTCATTTTTAGTGTCTGGGGTGTGGGGGAGGGAGGGTCCTCTGTTTCACTTCTTGCTTTCATGATGATTAGAAGCCTAGAGTGAAACCTACCTCAAGACAGAGGAAGGAAGAGCGAGGTGAGGGCTGGACGGCGGAGCCTGCCCCCTCCCTGCCTGTTTGTGTGTTTTCACTGGCTCTGGCTCTGAGACACTGATAGGGTCGCCACCGCAGGTATTTGCTCGTCCAGCCGCTCCTCAGACCGCCTTATCAACGGCATGTTTAAGACTTAGAGAGAGAAAACAACCATGAAACAGTAGAGCTTTTGGAAGTTTACAGATGTTCAGTTTGCAAATGCACATCTTCTCTTGTTACAGTCACTCTGATTTAACGGAGGCTCTAATTAGGGCCAGAGGGACTCCATGTTGAAAGCATTGCATTTTCCATGTTCCTTGGATCCATCCTGCATGGACTACTTTGTCCCTGTCCCTCACACGTACTTTGATTTGTTTCTGTCTGTCTCTTCTTCCCTCCCTCCCTCCCTCCCTCCCTCCCTCCCCCCTCTTCTGTTTTCTCCCTTTCCTTCCCCCCATCATGTATGTGTGTTATGTCAGTCAGAGTACAACTTCCGGTGTCCGTTTTTCTCTCTGCCTTGATTTGGAGGCAGAGTTTCATTGTTTTCCACCCTGAGGGCTCGCTGAGTTAGACTTTCTGGGGATTCTACTGTCCCTAGCTCCCATCTCTCTGTGGTAGCATTGGGATTGCAAATGTACACTACTGTGTCCAGCTTTTATGTGAGATCTGGCGATTTGAACTCAGATCCTTAACATGCATGGCCAGTGCGTCACCCAGTGAGGCATCTCCTCAGCACCTACCTGGGTTGTTCATTTTTGCCCTTGTTCTAGTTCCTGTTCTAGTTCAGAATCTCATGTCTTTCTAAGTCCTGATTGGACCTGCCTCTCCAAACCTGCTCCGGTTCTTTTGATGGATCCCGTATCTTTTCTGTGTTACTTCCTTTCATTGCACTTAGATAAGTGTAACACCCCCAGACTTTATGCTTTTCAAGTAAAGGAGAGGAATCTGATTCATCTGGAGAAGTAGCGATAGGCATATGTTTATTTGATCATTAAATTAATATGTGTTTTCCTTGAGTTCTTTACATGAAGTAGACCTTGGGATTACACTGTGGTACGAGTTCTGCTCTCAAGTATTGTAGAGTTTGCTTTGGGACATGGGCATGCAGCCAGTCATGTGATGAGTGGGTGACAGCAGGGTGATGGTGCTGTGGCTGAGCAGGGTATGCATCCTGAACAAAGGATTAAATGCATGGCTTCCAGAACTAGCAGGAAGTAATTGCCAAGACATGAACGATGCATTATGGATAAGAAATTATTTGTAAGTGACGGGTAGCTTGTTTGAATGGGTGCAGTGATAAAATCTTGAGCAAAAGGTGAATTTTCTGTAAGATATAAATGCTGTCACATCATCTTAGAAGTATTCTCATAAAGTTGCTAGAAATAGGATTAGTGTCTGTTATTAAATAAAGTATGTAGAAGTATTTTCACTGAATTCTGATGAACCTTTAAAGATCGGATTATTCAGGGTCATTATTAAGTTAATTGAGACTGCACTGGAAATGAGAACCTCTGAGAGTGAAAGTCTGATAACGAAAAGGGAAGTGGCCAAGGGCACACCTCTGCAGAATGACCTTGTGATCTCCTGCCCAGGAGTCAAAACAGAAGTTGAAGTTTTTCATTGGTATAGCAAAGCACTATAATAGTAACTTAGGATTTTTTATTCTAGGATAGCAAGGATGTTTCCCTATCTGGGAATCTATCCACATGATTCATTACATACCAGGTTAGGAGAGATACAGAAATTGTGCCAGTGGACGCCAGTGGGGAGCTGGAGATTCTGTCCTGTTGTGTGTAGCTGCAGGGGAGGTACACATGTTATTTAACCATCCTTGCAGAAGATATTTTCAAATTGTCTGTATCTTATACACCCAGAGATTTCCAGTTCATTGTGGCAGGTCGGCTGATTGATAACTTGCTTTCTAGTAAATTAATGTTAGTATGAAAAAGTACTAGAAGAGTCCAGTAAAAGAATATACTGATGCCCCCACACCTCCCGCCACCCTTTAGGAGGAATCATTCACAACCAGGCATCCAAGTTGGGGCAATATAAAAACAGTAGGCTTTGTAGCCAGGGATGGGAAGGAAATGGAGTTGTTGTTGGTGGGCACATCATAAAGACAGGGTCAGGAGCACAGAAATGTGTTATAAACCCCGGAGCACTGTTGACATGTAGAAGACGCCCTGATTGTCATCTGCAGGCAGATGTAGCCCTCCCTGGAGGGCAAGCTCAAAGTGCTTCATGTGAGGACAAAGGCATCACCAGGGTAATTCACAAGACTATAGGAATGCAGAGCTGACTCTGGTTTCCATATTGAGTCTTACCCTTTCACTCTCAATAGCATCCCAGCAGTTACCTATTTCTTTATATCTGTGACATAGCTAATTAACCCAGGACACCACAGCTGGTAAGTAGTACATGACTGCGCTGCAAATTTTCATCTTTGTCTTAGAGACCATTCCATGCTGTATAGTTTGCACCAAAAAGCTTTTGTTTGGGAATAACTAGATGTACAGCAACGGTGGGTGCTGTTAACCCATTTAAAGATAACCATTCAAAATTTATACTCCAAGCATGCAGAGCTTTGGAATTTTTAAAACCTTCCTTAATTTCAAATGAAATTCACTGTTTTATATTCACCTTGGTCATGCTGAACGTAAAAATAGTACTGTTATCTCAATTTTGTAAAAGAGATAGGCTTAGTTTTGGTACTAATGTCTCTTTAAATGATTGCAAATGTTCAGCTAAATTTAAAATTTTTGAGTAAAATTGACATTTATTGATTATTGTTCTTTATTGGTTTTGTGGCATGCCTTAGTGGTAATTTACTGATATCTAAAACATGGCCCCTGCCTTCTCAGAGGCTCACAGTTTTCCAGTATGTGTGTCTGAGTGCACCTGCACAGGGCAGGGGAGGGGAAAGAAGGTCTGAGGCCAGAGGGATGCCAGTGTCACCATTGGCCTCACCAGCCTGCGTCTTTCATCTCAACTTCTTTCCCTTTGGTTATCCATGAAGTTATCCCCATCTTGTGATAGAACAACACCCGCTTCCCTCTGGGTAAAATGATTTCTAATTCTCAGTCACTTTCTGTGAAAATGGAGGTATTTTCCCCCTTGGCTTTCATTGCAACTGATGGTCTATGCATAAAGACCTTCAATATTTTTTATTGGTTTTCAAAAAAGCTCCTTGAGTTAAGGAGACCTGGACTTTCTAAACCATCATTTGTTGACCATGCCATCAGAAGGGTTCCGGAACATACTGTCTGTCCATGGTGTGGGCACGTGTGAATTCCTCACAATGCTGTGTCTCAACTTTCTCTTCTCTCGATTACTGTGCCACATGCTGAGGCCTTACTTTCTTCCTGCCTTCGCTCTGTGCTTCGTCTTTGTAGACATCTGGAGGTAATCATGGAGCCCTCTTAATTAATTCAGTTCAATTAATAAATTACTAGGTAGATTTGGGGCTAGGAGTGGGTGCAGGGCACCTTCCGGCCTCCCTGTGCTGGAGAGCTCTTGCAATCAGGCCTGGAGAGGCCTCCTCAAAAAGTCTATGAGACTCTTTCCCAGCAGGCAGGCTGCCTGCAGGAGTGATTGGCATATCCTGCAAGAGAACTCAGTTCTTTCTTCACACAGTATGGATGCTGTGATAGAACAGTGCCTGGGCCGGGTTGCTTATCCCTCATGGAGTTACAGCAACTTTTTCATAATTTTCCGGCTTAGTTAGGTGTTAATGGCCATTTCTTTGATTTACAGGGCCATCATTGCACTGTTGGTGTTGAATATTCTTTCTCTAATAAATGTCAGTGTTTGTTCCAGGCATTTGGGCAACCAGTGCCTCTGCGCCCCGCCCCCAAGTGCCTCTTCAGGGTGGGGATGGGGAGGCTAGTCTTGTAGGAAGACATGTTAAAGTATGCTGTCATGTATCTGCTAACAAAATAAATATTTACTGTTTCTCTAATGCCTACTGGATAAATGTAAGCTCAAGTGTGTGTGTGTGTGTGTGTGTGTGTGTGTGTGTGTGTGTGTGTGTGTGTGTATGTATGTATGTATGTATGTATGTAGAAGTTGCTCTTTGGCCCCATCGCCCACTCTAGCTCTTTGGTCAGCGTCTTTCTCAAACGTCCCTCTAGCCACACTGAACCTGGTGTTGTCTGTTTCCCTGTTTTTCTAACTGCAGATTTCAACGATGTCTCACCCATCTTGGCTGCCACCCAAAAGCACTGGTGAGCCTCTTGGCCACGTTCCTGCCCGGATGGAGACCACCCATTCTTTCGGGACCCCCAGTATTTCCGTGTCGACACAGCAGCCACCCAAGAAGTTTGCTCCAGTGGTGGCCCCAAAACCCAAGTACAACCCGTACAAGCAGCCCGGAGGAGAGAGTGAGTTCTGGGGCCTGGAGTGGGAAAGAAATCAGCCTCGGAGATGGGATGTGCAATTAGGCTTGTGTCAGAAGGAGGTTTCTCGGTATATTTCCCACGATTTATGCGCTGTCCTGTTGTAATGAGCTCCCCATAGCTGTGTGCACCGACCACCTTTTAGAAACAAAGAGATTAAATCTTCCAGAGTTGGGTGGCTGGGGTTTTGCAGTAATAGCTAGCGGTAATGGCCCAGGTAGAAGCATGACCTCTTTGTTTATAGCTCAGAGCCTTTCTGTAGCCTTATCCTCACCCTTCCTTTTCCTCTTGTGGGGATGTATCTACTACCCAGTGATTCTCACTGTTGCCCTCAGACAAGCGACAAAATGCCACCAAACAGTAGTCCAGTGAGGGAGCCATAGGACAGAAGGCCCTGCAAAGTCCCTGGGACTAGGTTGCTTCTCTTTCTCCTGTCGGAGAAAGTTGTCCGAGATACCGGTGTGTGTTGAAGTTACAGATGGTTCAGAGCAAGCCTTAGTTCCAAGGGTTTTAGTGGCAATGTATTCATTTTCCATCAAATGGATTTTGAATGTCTGCATGAGCTGAGCATGCAATGTGTGGCTACACCACACACTCTCCCATTAGCGAACGTGGCCAGTCCAGCATCCTGGTGTTGGAAGAGGCTTCGTATTTGTACCAATCAATGTCAAAAGCTCCTTTGCACATAGGAAGCAGAAACTTAAAACCATATAGAATAGTGTAAGCCTTCCAGAAGCCGAGACTAAAAGATGTGCTCTACCGAGATGCAGTCTTTTCTCTCTTCCACACCCATCTGACTTGAAAAATGACTGTTCCGTCTCTAAAGCTCTCTCCATTGTGTTCCTGGATGACATCCTTGTGTCTGCTGCAGCAATGTTGCAGGGATTATTTCATTCCCCATGGTATTGCCTCTACTTTCTGGTTTCTTCGGAGACTTTCCTGCCTCCCAGGAACCACACCATTAGCCCACCACTTTCACTACGTTGGCCTACTAGTGTTTTAGGACTCCCATTAGAAACATGATTCAGATGGCTGGCTTTTGTAAGGTCCTTCAAGCTCAGAGGATTTGGGAAGGAAGACCAGGCCTCTCTGCATACTGAAGCTGTGGATCTTTATGGGTCTCTGTGTGTCCCTTCCCTAGAAAAGGCATTGCCAAGGCATGACCATGCTTTTCTGGGAAAAGTACAGGCTGTCATGTACTCTCTGACCCCAGTGCCTGGGCTGGAAGCTTCATCGCCCTTGCAGAAGACCACACTTCTGCAGTTCACTGAGGTCTTCGTGAAGCTGGTTTGCACTGGCTCATTATCCTCTAGGGCACTGATTCTCAACCTGTGGGTCAAGACCCTTTTTGGGGTTATGGAACAACCCGTGCACAGAAGTCATAAATCAGATACCATGCATATCAGATATTTACATTATGATCCATAACAGTAACAAAATTATAGCTTTGGAGTAGCAACAAAATAATTTTATTGCGGTGGGGGTCACCACAATACGAGGAACTGTAATAAAATTCCAGCATTTGGAAGGTTGAGAACCACTGCTCTAGGGATTGGAGGACTCAGACATGGGTTATGGGGGGAAGCCCTCGCTCAAGAGCAGGGAGAGCCATGCCTTGGCTTCCTGGCTTGTTTTCTTAGCATTTCCTTTTGTGTGATTTGCAGGGCACCTTTCGTTCATTTCCTCCCTGGGGAGCTCAGATGGACTTCCTACTAATAGGACGAGGACGACACCCAAGTCCTTAGACAGAGAAAGGTCATGGTGAGGAAGCTTTAGTGGGCATGGGGGTTGACCCTGTGTTCAAAGCGCAGTGTGTGGGTAGGTTCTACATCAAATAGGGGGGCCATCATGAGAAGAGAAGAGAAGCACACAGTGGTGGCCTTGCTCCACTCTGAGTGCTGGGAGTCATAGTGAGACAAGCCGCTAGGGCTTGGGATGCCCCTGCCTGTACTCTGTATGGCAACCCACTGATTTTCAGATACAGTGGTGTGAGCTGAAGGGTTTGCATTCACTCCAGCTCAGAGCTGCTTGCTCCTTGCCGCCCTGCTTGCACTGGTCACTTGTTGGAATCGTGTTTGTACCCCTTTCCGCACAGCGTTTGGTGTACCCGAAGTCTGTAGCTATCCCTGCCCTCTCTACAGCCATGTTTTCTCACTGTCGCGTCTCTGCACCATTTACCGTGGCTCCCACTTGCCTCTGCCACTTACTGAACAGGTGGTCTATACTGCACACCCCGTTCGTCAGTCATTAGCTGATTGCCTTTTCATGTTACCCTGTGAAGCAGCCCCCACCCCCACCCACAAAGAAACTGAAGCTCCCAGGGGGAGGTGGGCCGCACTGTATTCTCTGAGTAGGGATTATCTGTGTTCAGGCTGTTCTCACAGGCAGTGTGTATCTTCAGGTTGTTCTCATGGGCAGTGTGTATCTTCAGCTGTTCTCCTGGGCAGTGTGTATCTTCAGCTGTTCTCATGGACAGTGTGTATCTTCAGCTGTTCTCCTGGGCAGTGTGTATCTTCAGCTGTTCTCCTGGGCAGTGTGTATCTTCAGCTGTTCTCATGGGCAGTGTGTATCTTCAGCTGTTCTCATATACGGCGTATATCTTCAGCTGTTCTCATGGACAGTGTGTATCTTCAACTGTTCTCATGGACAGTGTGTATCTTCAGCTGTTCCTGTAGACAGTTGTATCTTCAGCTGTTCTCATGGACAGTGTGTATCTTCAGCTGTTCCCGTAGACAGTTGTATCTTCAGCTGTTCCCGTAAACAGTTGTGTCTTCAGCTGTTCCCGTAGACAGTTGTGTCTCAGGCTGCACATCAGTTACAGTCATTCTCCTTGACCTAGTCCCCAAGCTTTTCACTTGCGGACTTGGCTAAGCAGTGCTGACTTCACTTACCAGCTGCCTTTCTCACATTAGTTTAATGTCTATAATCTCTGGGGTTTGCTTTCTTACTTTTCAATTCTGACTGTGAAAGTAGAAAAGCACCCACATGTTTTCCACATCAGCTTGTATTTATGTGATACCCATATGTTATAATTTTCTTCATAGATCATTGTGCTAATAATCTTTGTCTAAAGGGCTTTGACACACGGTGGGTGTGTCTTCTCCCAGTCCGTGGTTCTTTAAGCCTTGGGCCCTTTGGTTCTCAGAATTTTAAAAGAAGTTTTATTTCCTCAGCTGTTTTGAATGCCCCTACATTTCCAGATACCCTCTTTGTTCAGCACTGAACGCTAAGTGCCCCCCCGCCGTGTGTGTGTGTGTGTGTGTGTGTGTGTGTGTGTGTGTGTGTGTGTGTGATGTGTGTGTTGTTGTGTTATAGAATGCACATTTTTAGTGTACATAGATTTTCTTTTTTGTAAAGTCCTTTGGTATACAGTGTGATTCACCCCCCCCTTCCCAAGGGAAATGAGATAACACAAAGTGCTGCCTTCCAGGACTGTTCACCTGTAATCTGGCTTCTGCCTTAAGTAACAACTAAGAAGACAGCCAGGCAGAACTGACAACATGAAACCTTAAACTAAGATTTTCCAGGAAGGTGCCATTCTTTTTCTATTCTTCATAGGCAGTGAAGTATATCAGCTTACCTAAAGTATTGTGTATTTGAAATGGTTTTGAGGTTATTCTGTTATTAGTCTGTCTGTCTTTCTCTGTCTCCTTTTCTGTTTCTGCAGCGTTTGGTAAGTTTGTAAAGGTGGAATTGTCTTTCTGTGAGCTCTAAAATTCCATTTAGAAAGCATTTTTTATATTTGACAAGTGGATCTGTAGATCACCTCTTCTAGGTGGTCACGTGTTAGAACCTTTTGTATTGGTGCAGTCCTTTATAGCTTACTCAGCACTTGCATTTGATTGCTTTGTTTTTAATTTTCAGAAGATAATTTTTACTGTTGCTTTCTCAGGCAGACAGAACAGATGTTCTTTCCATTTTACTGATTGCTAGACCACCAGAAATGAAAGAGCTTATTAAAGAATGATGTAACGGAGCTGAGAATATAGTTCTGTACCTAGTACATGCATACATGCATGCATGCAAATGCACACATACAGACGTGTGTGTGTGTGTGTGTGTGTGTGTGTGTGTGTGTGTGTGTAGACACACATCATGTAATAAAGGAGGTGCTTCTTCATATTCACATTCCTACTGATTGTAAGATTTTTTTTTTAATTTTTGAAGAACATTTATTGTGTTGTGTGCATGTGTTTGCCTGTATGTATGTCTGTGCATCCCGTGTGTGCAGTTCCTACAAAGGCCAAAAGAGGCCCTCAGGTTCCCTAGAAACCCCCATGGAGTTATAAACAACTGTGAGATACTCTGTGAGTGTTGGGAATTGAACCCAGGTCCTCTGGAAGAGCATCCAGTGTTATTAACTCCCGAGACACCTATTCAGTAGCTGATTTTAAGATTTTATTGTATTATGTTCATTAACCATTTAGCTACACAACCTTTTACTTCATATAATTCCATTATTTTAATATTTTATGATACTTGTTTGAAAATAAATTCTAAGGTTAACCCTGTCTACAGGCTATTCTTAAATACATTACCTTGTGCACTTCTGCATCGTAAACAATGCCTATGTTTGACCTGAGTTTATGAAGAGAAGACAGAGCAGGTGATGTCAGATGAATGATATCAAGTGGGATTCTGAGGCTGCATGTTTTCTTCTCCATTCTTCTGTGCTGTCCTCTGATGTCATTACCTCCACCCCATGCAGAGGAATTAGTTTTACAACATTGCTAATATGGCATAGGTAGTAACAAGATGCCTTGACCACCTTAAGGACCAAGTTTTTTCCCTGGTAGAAATAATCCACGTTTATTTCTTTTCTGTGCTCATAGTTGGGCCATTTTACACATATTAAAATCAAGTTTTTGAGTATTGGAAGCAGGAAGGGTTTGAAATTTGTTTTGTGTAGTCCTTCCCTTTGATGGCTGTGGAAACATCATCCAAGTGCTAGGCAAGCACCCTACCAATTGCACTACACCCCTACC